CTCATTTGGATCTTGTGCGGATGACGAGTTTGGCCGAGAATAATTCCTAGCCTCTGGAGGTCCAGAGGCTTGTACATGTGTTTCACGGGCAGAAAAATTAGCCGAAGCTCCTGTGGGGTCTGAATGCAGACGAATTATGAGAACCATGTTTGATATTTGAGTTTGCATGACTATGCATCTTAGCATACCTTGTGTATTTGCCTGCCGAGGTCTTGTATTCATACTACTGTTCCTCTCAACATGCCCTGGAACATCATTATTAAGTGGTGGCCACGCAGCAAGAGTTGCTCTAGTAGCAAGAGGAGGCACCACTCCCGACCTATTTCTGGAATTGAATATTTATGTTTATTTCCCAGTGATCAAGAGCTGACTCACTAATATTTTTACATTTAAAAACAATAATGAACACCTTCAAAATTCAATACAAGTACAACCATGTCTTTGAGAATTCCAAAGGGTAATTTGTATAGTGGAAGGTATTCCTTTCCTCCACATGGTAAAATAGGTATCGGGGTGAATCCAGACATACCCAAGTCAGATAAACAACATTAATCACGGAGTACATGGAAAAAGCAAGAGGCCTAAAAGAAACAGACTAAATACTGCTAATGCACATAAATGTAGAAATTCATGTCCGTCCTGCCCATGTACTTCCTGACAAACTAATCGCGGCCATCATCTCATGCAAATAAAGCATATCCAGCAATAGGAATTAGTTGGTAAATATATATCTTCTCCTTTTTATCTCAATAACTACATGAACAGAAACAGTGTTCTCAATATTGAAAGGAAATGATGTTTGTCAAATCATAGAGCAATTACATGAACGGATATAGATACCTTTTACTCTCCTGTGGCACATCCCAGTACTTACATGAACAAAACTAGTGAAAGGAAATGACATTTGTCAAATCATTGAGCAATTACATGAAAGGAGTTAGATACCTTTTACCCCGCGGTGGCTTATTTATTTCAGTAACAAGCCTCTGTCGTGCAGCTTCCATCTCCTCAACACTGCCCCCCAAAACTTCAAGAACTTCAGGTACCAACATTAACAGCCCATGCCTAATATTTACATTACAGACAACCACCTGTATCAATTTTCCAAATAATTAAACCATTGTTACCACTTCCTAGTTGAGTAACAAAACATCAGCCAGTGGTAAAAACAGGAAACAAAAAGACCTTTAATCCTGCTGGGGCCAACACTTGAAGACTGTTGATAGGCCTATATTCCATGCCAAACACACGCTGGACACCATCTGTCATTGACAATTTGAGACACCTCATGCTTCCTGGTACAGAACTTTGGTATCTACCACGTATAGGTCGGCTGATATTGACTATCTCATCAACCTACATAATCCCCATCACAGGCAATTAGATCCCAAAATATTATGCTTTATAAACTCAAAATTCATCTTGACATATAGCCACTCCCAGAGACTATATATCTTTATGTTACAAAAAGGCGCACAGTTCTCAATAAAGTCAAGAGTACAATTCAGCTAGAAGTACTGTAAAAAATTCAGACTAAGATTGATTGCTAAAAGAAATCTAAAATCACAAAAATGTATCACGAAGATAGGATCATAAAGGCACACGTCGACCCACATTTCAGTTGCACCACCTGCCTCTCTAAAACGAAATGCTTTCTTTGACCATAAGTTTTAAGCAAAAACCTTGTGGAGAGAAAAAACAGTTAACATAATTGATTCCCAATAATTAAAACACAGCTCTTCATTTACCTGCAAAACAAAAGGACCCTTTAGATCAACCAAGTGCAAGGTATGCACGTCCCGGGGGAGCACCCCTGCCCCTGAGTAATTCATGTCCGAGCGCAGGAACTGCTCGAAGCAAAGCTTTGCCTTTGCTAAATCGTCCATCCTTTGAAACCCCGTGACTGACGATTGAAGACTACGCAGACAAGAATCCAGCCATTCTTTCTTCATTCTAAGCCCTAGATTTTCCAAAACCGCATTCACTGGAGATTCTGACGTCGCAAATTGACCAGTACTTCTACCACTGTGGAAGCTGGAATCGTTAGTGGCTCCGCTGATGACGACATTTTCGCCTTCCTCGTCCGAGATGTCAATAGGAATCGGTTCTTCTATGCGGACATCGTTCCTGTTGGTGGTTGAGTAGTTGCTGCTCGGAGTAGGGTTTGAGGAATTGATTGTTACTGTTTGAAAATCGGTATCGATATCGTCGATTATAATGTCCTCTACATTCTCGTAGTGGTGTTGCTGCGGTGGTGGTGGCGGAGGGGGAGACGGCGGCTTTGGTTCTTCGTCTTCTTCGTCGGAGGAGCAAACAACACGGAGGCGCCTTCTGGACATTTTCTCGTGTGCTTTCGTCAATCGCTTTCCCTCCAATTTTACTTTCTTTACATTTTTAAAAGGAATATAAAAAAGGGTCAACATCTTTTTCACAAATGATAAAACTATTCTTTCTTTTACACATAGTCCCATCAAATAACTTCTTTTACATCCCAAAACTCACGAAATGTTATGCGATATTACACTCGCATGTCCAAATAAACCAGCACATATCCAATCGGCCGCATAATTTATGACTATGCGTAAGCATTTCGTATTTTTTTAATCGCATATCCACATCAAAGCATAATTTACAAATGCGCGAACATCTTTCGCATTTTTAATAATCGCATATACAAATCGATTGCAGCATAATTTATGATGATTATGCGCCTTCTTTTCGCAGGACTATATCAACCTTGCAAATTTATGACTGCGAAAATATTTCGCATCTAATTCGCATGGTTTGTTGAATACGCATTTTCTGGTAATTGCATATCCAAGTCAATCGCATAATTTACTAATATGCGAAACAATTTCGCATATATCCTCTATATAATTGACAATTATGTGACATTTGTTCGCTCGCATATTTAAGAATCACATAACCAAATCGAATAAAGCATATTTTTTTGACGATTATGCGCCATTTTTTCGCAGGGCCATATCGACCTGGAAATTTTAGGACTATTCGCAATTCGTTCGCAGATCTTTCACATAAGTTGCGCACTTCATTAATTGACTGCTTTTTCAAAGGTGAGGATTTGGTCTCTGCATTTATCATGCAGGCAAAAAACAGTGATCTCTAGCAGTTTAACGCCTGCACCATTCATCTACTGCATTTTTCTGTTTTTTTTTTAGTTCATTTTGTTGTTCACTTATTTGAATGGCTAGCAACCGTGTTAGAGTATTAGTGCACTTTGGTGGTTCGTTTTGCAAGGGTTCATATCTTGGTGGAGTGACAGAGCTGATGAGAATAAATTACGGCCGACAAATATATTCTGAAGTAATTTCTCGTGCTCAAGCATTATTGAAGGTCGATCCTTGTAATTTTGAGTACATATTTGTGGGCAGTATTTGATGGAAGGGAACGAGTTGTGAAGATGAAAATCGAATCCAGTGAAGATATCTTAGAGCTGATTGAAGAACAAAGATATCCCAACATTTACATGGAGTTGGAAAAGCGAGTAAATGTAGGGATTTTGGGGACGACGCAACAAAGCTTCACGCAAATGATGGCGTCCCAAGGTGTATTTTCGAGTTCTTTTGGTGTTGGTAGTTCTGCATTTTCCCACGAGGCCCCATATTCACATCAAGCAGACCCTAGTTCATTTACACATACGGGATATCCTCGGGGCGCTGATGATCAAACCTCGGATTGTTCGAACCAATCAGGTCATTCTCGTGACGATGACAATAATGGTGACTAAACCAACACGCACAATGGTGACTCAGGCGACGAAGACAAAGAGGTCAATGAGAAGCAAGTTCGTAATCCAGGTACAATTGTCGAAATCAGAATTGGGTTGACCTGCACACATCACACATATCCCATAATAATCGCACAATTGAGTTGATTGCACGTTTCACATAACATATCCTATAATAATCGCACAATTAGGTTCATTGTGCGATTCGCATAACATGTCCCATAATAATCGCACAATTGGGTTGATCGTGCGATTCCCATATCATATCCCATAATAATCGCACAACTGGGATGATTCGCCTAGTCTTCAAACGCATAATTAACGAATCGTATATCCAAATCGAAAGCCGCATAATTTACGACTATCTGCCATTTTTTTCGCATATCCATATGGTCCTCATTGATTGATTGTCTGCACCGCATATCAAAATCAAAAGTGCTTCGCATATTATTCGCATACGTTACGCACCGCATTGATTGATTGTCTGCACCGCATATCAAAATCGAAAGTGCTTCGCATATTATTCGCATACGTTACGCACCGCATTGATTGATTGTCTGCACCGCATATCCAAATTGAAAATGCTTCACATATTGTTCGCATAAGTTACGCACCGCGTTGATTGATTGTCTGCTTTTACACCTAAAAAACAATGACGATTTGCATGTTTCCTCATTTAGTTGTTGAGTTGATGTATATCTATCTAGCCTTAAATGCTATATGTATTCATTAACCTTTCATTCTCTTAGTTGAAGAGGCGACCTTTCACTTCTCAAAACCCTATCTTTCCATCGCAGCCAAAAAAAAAAACAAAAAAAAAAACCAAAGAGGCGCACGTTTGCGAAAAAAAAATGGAAAGGATTTCACCCTATGAAAAGATCGCGATCCACTTCTGTGGCATAGACTGGACAGAGGAGGAGGAACGAATTTGCTACCAAGTGTTTTTCAAATGGTGTCGTCAGAAGGCAGACATACACAGAGGCCATGTGTTCAATTCCTTGTGGGCAGAAATTTCAATAGTGCTGAACCAATGTCTGAGTTATGCATTTAAGAGGGAGTTTACTATTTCTCAAGTCCGGCGAAAGATTCAGTGACTCAGAAATTATTTCGATGAATTTACTGCTTTCCTGATGATTCCAGGCGTCCTCTTGTGTCGTGATACAGGCTTTGCTAGGGTTAACCACATGTACTGGGTGTATGTGGGGGAGGAGGTAAATTGCATTTGATTTTTTATTTTAGTTTGTTCAAGCATGCATTTTTGTGACGCGGCCATAATAACCTAAAAAGATTTAAATTTATTACACATGAGACCGATACTCAAGCTCTTTTTCATTCAAAAGGATTCCCTTGGTATGGTGAGTGTTACGAGGTTTTTACCAAGCGCAACGCAGCGGCGATAGACTTGGAAGTCATCGATCTCGACCCTTAGAATCCACTGGACATGTAATCAAAAGTTGTTTGGCTTTTTTTGTTGACTGACTGCAGTAATAATAAATATTTTTTTCTTCTATCAAGTACGTGTTTGTTTAATCATGATTCATATGTCAAAACAAAACAATATGTTGCATGGACAATTAAACTATTAATGTCCGTGAACAGAGTTTTCCCAGCAAAATCAGCGACAATATTCGAAGAGAAAATATTATTGAAAGGAAATTCGCAGAACTGTGAACAAAGTGCGATAATCGTATTGTTTTCGCATAATGTAATGAAAAAAAAAGTATTTATATTTTTTAATCGCATATCCAGGCCAGATCAACCGCATCATCATTTAGGATATGTGAAAAAATGTCGCGTAATTAGATTATCGCATATTCAAACTGCATCATTTATGAGTATGCGACTATGCGGCATATGTTCGCATAATTTACGATTCGCATATCCAAATCTATAAGGCTTAGATAACTATCGCTTATGCGTAATGTTTTCGCATAGTTACGAATCGCATATCCATAAACTCGCATAAATGCATCAATATGCGAACACATTTCGAATAGTGTTAAGCACAACTTTTTTTCACCTAATAGTTTTTTTTATTTATTAATTTAATCAAAGAACAAGAATTTTCCAAAAATTATTACTTACCAACTCTCCAAAAATATACGACGTTTGTATGTCACAATTTTGTACATCGCAGAATAGAAAATTTACAAAAACAAACATAAAAAATATATGTTAGTCGTTATTGTAATAGTGTTATGCAGTTTTTATGCGGAATTGTTTCGAGTAATAATCGCAGGTTCATTGACCTAATAGTAGTAGTCTTCAATGTATTAATAATTTAGTCACAAACCAAAAACTTTACAAAAATTAATTTTATAAAATTAATTATTTACCAACTCAGGGACTAATATGCGACGTTCGTATGTCACAATTTCGTATGTCGCCGAATAGAAAATTTACAAAAAAACATAAAAAATTAAATTTTATTTGTTATAGTACGAGTGTTATGAGGTTTTTATGCGGAATTGTTTCGAAGTAATAATCGCAGGTTCATTCATCTAATAGTATTCTTCAATTTATATTTAATTCACAGACAAAGAAATTTCTAAAAAATAAATATTATAATTAATTATCCACCGATTCTGTGGATGATATGCGACGTAGCCTTAAATTTATATTTAATTCATAGACAAAGAACATTCCAAAAAATAAATATTATAATTAATTATGCACCAATTCTGCGGATGATATGCGACGTAGTCTTAAATTTATATTTAATTCACAGACAAACAACTTTCCAAAAAATAAATATTAAAATCAATTATGCAACAATTCTGCGAAAGATATGCGACGTAGTCTTAAATTTATATTTAATTCACAGACAAAGAACTTTCCAAAAAATAAATATTATAATTAATTATGCAACAATTATGCGAATGATATGCGACGTAGTCTTAAATTTATATTTAATTCATAGACAAAGAAATTTCCAAAAAATAAATATTATAATTAATTATGTACTAATTCTGCGAATAATATGCGACGTATGTATGTCGCAATTTTACATCGACTCAACTACTTTACATCGAAATTTTTTTTATAATATAAATTATGCATCAATTAGGCGAATGCTATACGACGTATGCATGTCGCAATTTTACATTGACTCAACTACTTTACATCGAATCAACTACTACATTACCTCGTGCTACATTCAGTAATAAGTTTCAGTGACCATAACCGAGCCAGAAGTTCTGGATTGTCCCGTTTGCTTTGAACCTTAAAGCCCTCCAGTATATGAGGTACTACTTAAACCCCGGTACTACGTTCACCGTTCCTCATATAGCAGTCTGACTCTCGTAAGTGGACGGCTGAGGATGAGCGGCAGAATTGGGCTGAGGAGTCTGGGGTCTTTGCAGAGGAGGTATGAGATCTTTTTGCCATTGTTTGTTAGAAGGGATAGGTCTGTGAGTTGAACGAAATTGCCATCCCTTGTTTGACTTTCAATCTCCGTTTTCACATCTGTCTTTGCCAGTGAATTTTGTACACCAGTTGAAGAAAATAGAAAACGAGATTTAAATCAATGGTCTGACTTCCGATAAAAAAAGTAGTATACCCCGAAAGAACAAGCACCTTTGTCTTTGAAGG